ATTCGAAGATAAGAAAAATTATCGAAGAAGATAAAAAATTCATCAAAAAAAAAAAAAAAATAAGAAAATAAAATGTTCAGTATGTGATATTTTAAAAATAAAATAAAAACAATAAATCAAGTAAGAAAATTTTCTTATTACCTTTTTATTTGCAATATTTATTTTTAAAATGTTTAATATACTTATAATTTAATTTCTCCGTAGTTATCACAAGTTATTGTTTATTTATCTATAATAATTATCCATTATTATTATTCGATAAAAAAAATAAATAAAATGCAAATATATAATTTTTAAATAAACATAAATTTAAAGATGGCATCTATATAAGTATTCGAAGAATTAGGATCAATTTACCGAAAGAATGATATTAAAATTTCAAGAATATTATTTATTCCAACATGAAAGGAAATATAGTCAAATTTTAATATCATAATTAAAAAAAGAAAAAGATAAACAAGAAATGATAATTGAGATTAATAGTATTAATAATGATATTAAGGAACGTGTCATAAAAATTAAAAATGATTAATATATAAATATTTAAATATATATGTATAAATGACAATGAATTGATTATACAATTATTGAATCATCAATCAATATGATTATAATAAAATGAAATATCAATAAAATGATTACTCTTCTATTTTTAAACGTAAGTCCAATTTATCTATCATTAAATATTATTATATGTTATTAAATCTTACTATAAAATTTTAAAAATATTTTTTAAAAATATTAATATTATTATTTATATATATGAAAATATCATTAAATATTAAATATTATTATAGCATACTATTAAAGGTAGAGTATTGATAAAATTCATTATAATTAATATTTGTAGAAACGTATATTACTAATTTTAACTTCACAGGATATCTATATATAATAATTAAATTCTAAGAAACACGTAATACTATCAGATGCAGTTAACGCGGTCATTATAATAGGAATATTTAACGTAACAATAAATTAAAAATAACAATAAATTAAATGAATATCTTGATGATTAAATGATAAAATGGTAGTATAGAACTGATCTAATAAAACTATACATTTTCTGAAATAAAATGTTAAAATAATATTAAAAAGAAAATATCAGTTCTTAATTTCAGAAAAAAAAAGAGAAGAAAAAAAATCGTAAGATAGTAAGTTTATTCCTATCTGTGTTTCAATTATACATATATAGATTATATATAGATTATAAAATTTTAATATATAATTAATAGTATTAAATAAGATGTTATATATATTAAGCATGTCATATTGATTAATTTAAAATTATAAAGTATTTTTTTATTCCATTTTTCAAAATGTTTTTAATTCTCCAGGAACAAGTATGTAAGTAAATTTTTCTCAATTTAATGGTATGAAGTTGCCAACAAAGAAAACTAATAGTCAAATGTTCAATATATTTTAAAATAGTTTTTTCCTTTTTATGAACTTTTAATGACAGATTTTTAATATTAATTTTTTATAAGAATTAATAACGTGCCCAAATATATTATTTATTAAATTTGTATAATGATAAATCGAGGAAATAATAACAATTATGTGTCAAGCTTTTAATATTATGCAAGATAATACTGAGATGCAAAATCATGGACATTTTCGTTGGTTATACAAGGTTCGTTAATAAACTTAAGTTATTATTTGTAATTCTAACTGTAATTCTTACTATATTCCAAAATGATATTAATTATAATATCAATAATATAATACATATAGTTAATAATTAAGTGAAAGGAATAAAATCAGAAATAGAATAAAAAAAATAATGAAAAATTAAACTAGCCTAATAAGAATCATTTATCATTTTAAATAAACTTTTTCCACAGAAAGCTAATAATTTGGTTGTCCAAAAATAATAAATTTATATTTTTATAAAACAAAATTATTATTTTTGATAAAATACAGATAGTATTTCTTAAAAAGGTTTTATGTCAAGAAAAGAATATTAAACCATTATCTGCCATACAAGCGTATTTATCAAAGGGTTGTTTGCGATTCTGTGTCGATCGCGTGGGTTTGAAAGATTGGTCACCAATACTTAAAAGTATAGCTCAAAATCGAAATCTGATGAAAATTGATATCTACAGTCGCAGCCAATGCAAACGAGTACGTGAGAAAGTGAATACGGAAGAGAAACTTGAAAAATTATGGTAATTAATGTAACTAAAAATATCTGAAAATTCAATTGAATTTTTATCTGACAGATTTTTATAGTGATATTTATAAAACTGACATATAAAGACAGAAAAATTATTGAAAAATTAAAAATTGTCTTAAAAACCCAAATATTTTTTGAAACTTAAATTGAAGTACTTGTTAAAAGAAGTGATTTTGATTTTGTTGCATTCCCAAGCTTAAACTTCCAAGTTTTGCTTTAATCTTAATGCCATTCTTTTGTGCAATTGTTCTTAACTTTTTCAATTTTAAATTCTTGTTGTTTCTTTTCTCAATTTCTTGAAATTTATTATTCAATTCCTGTATAATTAAAATACTAAACACAAGAAATTATCTCAATATAATATGATTAGAAATTTCGGAATCAGAAATATAGAATCCGCATGAATTTTTTTCCTTGAACTTAAAAAAAGAAATATATTAAAGATGAATTAATGCTCATTAGCACCATTTTTAATATTTTCCTTGCGGATACTACTCCCAGAAAGTTTAAGCTTGCAGGTCGCATCTCTTGGAAGAAAATGGAAAGGGAAAGAGAAAGAGGGAGAGAGGGAGATTGAAATGATGAGGAGCGATTTGGAGGAATATATCGAGCGGAAAGGATTGCATGAATTGAAGGAAGAGACAGGAGGATGGAACGATAACGAAAGGAAAGGTCCGAATGTCCCAAATAATAGACTGTCACACTTGACAGAGAAAATTAAAAAAGAAAAGCAGAAAGAATGTAAAAACCCTAGACCGGCATTTGATGTCACGTCCAGGCGATGCAAGGCAAAGAATCAAGTAAGGCCAATCATCTACACGAATTTTCTGTTGCGCTGTCTCATCGATTCCATCGCCGTTTGCTTGAGAGATTCACCAGCCATAACCTCTATCACTATTGATGGAATTCCTCTGACGCTGAAGTACCTGAATATCCTGTGTTCCGGTTTGAAGACCAATGAAAAGCTGATAAGTTTATCTTTGAAAAAATGTTACATAGGAGACATTGGTTAGTATTATTTTCTAATGTTTATTTTTATTTTATTATTTTTCTTTAATTTAGCATTATTCCAATAATAATATTTTCAAACAAAATTACATTCTCTTTTTTTTGAATCTCTTTTGCACTATTTATTTATCCCTTATGTAATATTTTTAACATTATTGTTTTTCTTTTATTTTTTCTCTTTCCTGCTCCAGGCTGTGACCTGTTATTGAACTGCTTGAAAAACAATCCAAAGCTCTCTGTCTTAAATTTGTCATCTTGTAAACTATCAAGTAGAAGTGCTATGAGTATATCATTGTTCTTAAAAAGGAGAAAGGCTGATCTGTTACAAAATATTTGGGAGCAATCTTCCGAAGAAGATACTGAAAAAGTAAGGATTAATTCCATTGATCATTATGTAAATTTTATTATTAAAAATAAAAAAGTTGTATTAAATTGTTAAATGTTTTTTCAGTTACAAGGATTGCAGACATTGATTCTAAATCAGAATCCAAAAATTGAAGACACTGGTCTAAAACAGATAATTTATGCATTAAAAAATGATGCCTGGTTGAAAACATTAAGTTTGAAACGCTGTGGAATCAGTAAATTGGGAGCAGAAATGATCATTCAACTATTGCAATCAAATAATAAAATTATGAGGCTAGATTTAACCAAAAATCATATACCTATTAATACTCTTCAAATAATGTTGGGCATATTGAAGAAAAGACAAGAAATAGCTGAAAAAACTTTATTGAATAAACAATTCTGTTTAAATTGGAGAAAAAATATAAATAATGAAATTATTAAATTTACAAAAAGACATAGAAAACATTCGCAAAATCGAACAGTAAGTTTTTTATTTTTTCATTTCTTTGTAATTTAAATGAAATAAAAAAAATTTATATTTTGAAAATGTACTAATTTTTTTTAGGAACGGCCTAGGAAATCTTCATTACAAAAACATTATTGGAAAAAGACTCAAAGATTTGAGAGATTTATTCGAGAAAAAGAAGTGAAAGGAATTACAAAAGAAGATTATTATAGAAGAAAGAAAATTAATGATTTGGAATTACAATTATTAAATTTAATTGAGTCTAATTCTAAATTAAAAGAGGAACTTTCGAGCAATAAAGCGTTATTGAATTCAGAAGTACAGCAAAGATCGAAAATAGAGAATGAGTTGCAAAGAATATCGTTTCGATTAAATGATCTAAAAAGTAAAGTTTTTATGCTAAATTGTATTTCCTCTAAAGCATGTAATGAAAGTCAATTATTGACGGGTTTTAAATATATTTTCGAAAAATTGGAATCATTTTCGATGTTAAAACAAAATGTATCTGTAAACGAGGAAGTTGATTTAGAAACTGTAGAACCATTGTGGTCGTCACCGTTAGCAGAACAAATGGAAAACTGTGTTTTGAATTGCTCACAGCGAAAACCTTATTTTATTTCCCATTGAAAATATAATACTGTGAATTTTATTTAATAATTTTTCTAGATGTATAATGTAAATAAGATACGAATTTTATACTGATGTATAAAATTTTATACTGATGTATATTTTAATAAAAAATATTTCAATTTTAAAATAGACTTATAAATATATTTATAAGAATAAATAATAGAAAGAATTTATGTTTTTTATTTTTTATTTTAGAAATAGAGAAGTATAATATTAGAAATATAAATAAAAATTTTCGATGATATTTATAGAGAAGTAATATAATTTTTTTTTTAAATAATTTATAATTTTTCATATGATCATATTAAATAAATGAAATATAAGATAGTTAATCATGTATGTATATTTACATTTTATCAAAAAAAAAAAATTAAAGAATTAAATATTTTTTCTATTTAATCCTTCTTATAATTTCAGAAGTTTTAAATATTTAAATTTTTCGCGCGCCTGGATGGAAAAAAAATCATGTCATCTTAGCCAATCAGAAAACTACTAATATGAATCTATTGCATATGGCGTCAGTCTGGTATCGAAACTCAATCGTAATAGCACGCGTCAGTTCGTATCAAATATAAACGATATTTGTGCTATAATTTATAAATTTTGCTTAATTAATACGTTATTTGTTCGCAAGATATTATTATTAAACAATACTTTTGAAGTTTTTTTACTTTTTTGTTGATCAATTATTTGAGTGTTAAATTTGCCGGTACATATCTGGAACAGGTATGTAATATTATTTTTTCCTTTCTTTTCCTTTCTATTAAAATATTTAGAATTTATATTAGAATCGTTATATAGTTATCGTGTAAAAAATTATAAATTATTTTTGATTTTTGACGTCTTATTTTTTTTTTAAAATTAAATTATTTAACTTATATATATTTCTTTTCTAAACGTATATATTTGTACATTCAGTTTATATATTATTTATTTTATTTTATTAGTTAAAAGTTAAAAATATTTTTTATATGTATTTTTTCAAGGAATTGATGTTTACACTCCTTGCATGCTCGATGTGTTTCGACGTGTCTCGATCTGTTGTAAACTCTCGAATATATCCCTTCCCCAATTTGTATTTGTGCAACGACATCACAATGCGAAAAAATTGTAACCGCTAGAATTATCAAAAAGCTTCGCATCGACAAAGTAAGTGCACAAAATATTTAATTTAACAAAATATATATAGGATTGCTTTTTTTGCAAATAAAACACGAACTTTAAAGATTCGCGAATAAAACATGCGTACTCGTGAATAAATTGTGTGTATTTTAAACAATCGTGAAACAAAACATGTTGCTGTTGCACGCAAAATACATGAATAATTTTAAATTATATATGAAATCGAACGAGCGTACTTTCGACACGACCGCACGGTATAACAGTATCGATCGAACTGAGGTCGAGCGCGCCGCGCCGTATATATATACAGTTGGTAATTTAGATAACTGTCGATAGAATACAAAAGAAAAATTTTAATTTTAAATATTTAAATATAATTTTTAATAATTTTATAAATAATTTATTAATATTATTAATTTTAGAAATAATTTCATACATTTTATTAATAATTATTTAATTATTTAATAATTTTATATTGATTTTATAATATATTTTATTATTTATAATAAAAACTACAATAAAATTTATTGTTATAAAAGAAATTTTAAAATCAAATAATTCAATAATGATCGATTTAATTCAATTTAGGAATTCTTATCTTAATTATTTAATTTAATTTTCGAATTTGCAAAAAATAGATATATATTCTCTTATATTAGAATTCTTATTTTAATATTCTTATTTTAATGATATTTTCATATAATTTTTAATTCTATTAACAATATATTGTATTTTTTTTATTTTTATTATAATATCATTCATAATATCAAATAAATAATTCATTATTATTTTCCAATATTTCATTTCAGCTTAATAAATATAATTTTTTCTTTTTTTTTTATGACTGTATTTAATATTTATTAAATCATATATACGAGCATATTATAAGATATATTTTCTCGATTCAATCTTTAATTCCATTCGAAGATTTTTCCAAGTTTCTAGAAAGAGTTTTTTTTCTCGATTCTAAGACGTTTTATGAAAAGTATCGAGAGATTGAATAGGCGAACAAGATACTTTTTCGTGGCCGCATTTTCCGCCTCATTCGAGTTGAAGTACGATCAAATCCAAATTTGAATAATTGAACAATGCGATCTTTTTTCCACGACCATATTCAATTTTTCGAGAAATCTTGTCTTCAAAAATATTTTAAATCTCGAAGTTTATTCGAGAAATTAGAAAAAATTGCAGAAATTTTAAAACTTTTATTTTCTATGACATTGATCTTTTTTTATTTAATATATAAATAAAAGAGTTGACTGTAATATTTGTAATTTTAAATGCAAGAGAAGAATATATATTTTTAAATAACATCAATAATATAAAATAATAAATTTGATTTTATAGTTTTCAATTTATACACATTCATATTAACTTTTTGTTATATCGTATACATTGGAAAACGAAAGAAATGAAAGCTCACGATTTAGACAACAGCATAGAATTCAACAGGTTGCTCTTTTATTCACTATTATTCAAATTTTAGTTCGATACGGTAGAAGTGTTATAAATCACACGGATTAATTTAAAAATAAAATAAACTATTTTTCGTTTTTGCAAAGTAAAATTGGAAGTTTTTAAAGAAAAATTAAGTAGACGATAAAGTAGGAGTGATATATATGGATCTATTCGTGTTGGTAAAACAGAAATGTAAGAATTACGAAAATGGTAGCAAAAGTTAAGTTAGATAACAAATTAGAATATAATAAATAAATAAAATATCCATTATATAATATTCATTTTATAAATTGCAAAAGACAGGAATAAAATTATTTTACTCGAAAATATGTCGGGTTTCAATGGATAAAAAACATCTTTATCTTCACAACTATAAATTGAATTGACCGATGATATTACAGTTCTTCGGGATTATAAAAGTGTGTTAATTTTTGTTATTAATTATATATTTTTAAATTTTCTTTTCATATTAGAGATATTACAAGATATTACATATCATATTTTTAGATTATTTTTTTCTAAATTTATCAATCTATCAACTAATTAGATCAATTCAGGCTCATTGGTAAATAAAAACAATATATGAAATGATTATATAATTATGATTAGTTGTCCTCGTTTTAAAAGTCAATATTTTTTTTTTATCTTAAAATAATTATATATAGATTTTTAGATATATATAATTCCTGATCAATGAAATTCGATCGAAATCTTCTGAAGCACATATAAAGCAAATCGAAACATTGAAAATTAAAAGGCATCGTGGCGGTTACGACGAGCGCAATAAGAGCGGAATCTTTGTTTTATAGTGATAGAGAGACGAAATTTCTTGGGGACCGCGAATTAATAATTAAGTCGAGTTTCGATACGATTTCAAAGATGGTACTCATTCTCGACGAATTCCTCGCGATTTCCGCCGCTACGAAATATTTTTCTTGGAGGGGGGGGAGGAGGAAACCTTCGCTTCCTGTTTATTCTCAATTTACCACACCAAGGTGGAAACGGTGGCACGAGTTTACCGTCCAATTTTCTATTCTCTTTCTTCCCCCCCTCTCCACTCTTTGTTCATCTTTCGCAGCCATCCCTTCGTCACTCTCTATTATTTACTCCTTCGAAACGTCGTAGATGCTTTTTTTTTCACTTCGTTGCGCCGGGAAAATTTCTGGGGCGATTCGCTTCGCGATTTCTTCTATTCATAAATGGAACGAATCGACGAATTTTTTGCGCTTTAGAAATATGAGGGAAATATACGATTGATAAGTATCCAATGTGATCGATAGATTAGGAAATAATTCGAAGAATTAATTCTTTGATATTCGACGCTCGATCGATTAGAAAACGTATTCGCGTTAAAACTTTTATCGTCGCAATAAGGATCGAAGAAGTTTCTCCCTATTATTCCGTTTTTCGAGCAACAAGGGAGTATTACATTAAAAAACCAATTACACGGATCCGTAACTGTTCCACGATACAAAATCACGTTACGATTGAACGAACTTTCTACCCTGTACAATGAGGCGAATAATTCGAAATAAATAACGTCCCATAATTAATTAAATTGTACCCTCAAATAAAGAGGGTGAAACAAACAAGCGTACTTCTTTCACCGAGCTTACCTTTCAAACGGTAGGACGTATTTAACGGTAAGCGCTGTATACACCGTCGTTTTATCCACAATTTTCGAACCTTCTTCGAGCCAATCATCCGCGACGTGTCAATCACGAATTCCTCGAATTCACCTTGCGCCTTAAAATTTTTTAATATACCTCCCCCTCGCAAAACTCACTCGCCTTTCTCCCCTCACTCTTCTCACCCTTTCTCACGTTTTCCAACTTGGCTGCGAAAGATGTTCCACGCCATCGTCGAAGTTTGGCGTCGCGTCTCGATATAACCATCGGCCGGGTTATAAGGTGGAAGAGAGCGATGGAGAGAAAATGCGTTCCGTGCTCGCGCCGTGCACCCCTCCTCTCGGGGATCTAGAACGGTCTAAAGAAGAGGGAGAGGGGGCTTTGTGTAGACGCCGGCTCACGTGTCGAACTTATGAAAATTAATAAGAAAAATTGCCCATAAATCCGGGGTCTCGTTCGTGGCGGTGGTGGTGGTGGGGCTCGCATCCGGGCCACGGCAATAAAATTAGAATTATGTCGCCGCTCAACCCCGAACTCCTGTCGGGGCCTTTCTTCTTCCTTCGACGAAGGAAGAGGACAGGCCGTGCATGCCGACAGCATGTTGTTAGCGACGCGAGGAATGCGTTCTCCGGTCCCTAACGTACGACTTTACCTTGCCAAGATTACATCCATGTCTCAGGCCGCGACGCCACCCCCCTCCCCCTCTGCTTCCTATGGTTATTAAATTCTGCGTCTTTCATCGCCTCCTTCCCCCGCACTTTCCCTCCACTCGCGATTTTCCTCTCCAGAGATGTTGACTTATCGCCTACAGGCGACGGCCGAGGCGAAACCTGTCGCCTGTTTCGCTCTCGCCATGGTGGGAACGGTGGAAATCGCAGTTTCGAAGGGTGGAAGGTTCGGGGGAGGGGGACGGAACGACCTCTTCGCGTCGCAGTTTTCATGAATCTTTTAAGGGCACGAGTTCCCTCCTCCTTTAAAGGCGGCCGATCGTAATAGCGGTATTGCGTTTAACGGGCAAAGAGACTCGTTAAGGGATCGTCCAGGTGGTGGAACGTTTAACGTGGAATCGGGCGCGCGGTACGAGGGGATTAAATCGGTTTATGGGTGACGCGGGTCGTGAGCGGAATGCGGCCCGTTCTTGTTTTAGAAGATAGTTTTAAAAGGAACTTACGAGGGGGGGACTTGATTCGGGTCAATCGATCGTTTCATTACCGTAGAGGCCTCTTTCTTCGAATATATATATATATATATATAGGGTGATGAGGATTGCTCGTGAAATATTCGTATACTATTTCTAGAATATTTCGAATTCTTTTTTTTTTTTTTTTTGATTAATTTTAACGATTCGAAAGTTATTTCGAAATTAATCTTTCCCCGTACGAAATCGATCATCGACCGATCTTTGATTTATTTTTTTCGCGTCACCGAATTTCGAATTTAACAATAATCTATCGACATCCAATTACGAAACGATTTTCTCTCTGATAAAAATTTCTATAAAACTTCGAGTCTTTTACGCGTATAATACCTCGAAACGGTTCCAATCCTTTCCTCCCGCCCCAAAGAATCGAATTGAAACCTTCCATTTACCGCGGTACAAACCGCGTCACGTCGACCTCTCTCTCTCTCTCTCTCTCTCTCTCTCACCCTTCCCCCTCCCTCCTCCCCTTCCTCCCCAACATTCCGAACGACACGTGGAAACGCTGTCGAAACATGATCCAGGTGAAGCCTGGATGTAACGACGCTCTGTTGCAGCAATGTCGGTGGCAATGTCGTTTTCGCCGATTTCCCACGTTTTCATCGTGGCAGTCCCTCCCCTCCCTCTCATCCTCCCTCCTCCCTCCCAGAAATCAACCAGAAACGTCATTCCGGGCCGGGGATCATGTGCAATGGCGGTTCCAACCGATGACAAAAATCCGTACGTCGGCTTATGCGGTTCGGTGTCGTGTACCAAGCGACCACAGACATCCTGGTGGTGCGCGTACGTATAATGATAACAGTGGTCAGGCTCTGTTCGAGCATCGAATCGTTGACGGGCTGCCAATCGTGAAACGGCAATTTAGCCGTGAAACGTGGGGAGGCGCGACCGTGGTCCCGCACGGCCGCAGATCCCACCGAAATTCTCTTCGACCGCTTCAACCCCTCGGGGGTTGCGCGAGAGAGAGAAGGAGAGGGGAGAGAGAGAGAGAGAAAAGAAAAAAAGGTCAAAGGTAAAATATCTGGGGAAGAGGGAGAAAGAGAGAGAGAGAGAGAGAGAGAAGAGGAAGGAGAAGGGAAATACGTGTCGAAGGGATACGTGACACGAGCGAGGCCAAAGAATCTGTATATTTGACGTTTCAATTATGCCTCTTTCTTCTTTCTTTTTTTCTCCTCCCCTCTTTCACTTTCACGTACGCCCAATTCGTTCTTTTCTCGTACGTTTTTTCGTCGGCTTTGAGAGTTCGGTGGCTGCATTTTCTCTTTCCGGCTTTTTTTTTAATATCTTGTTGCCGCTGGTTTTTATCGCCCTTCGTTTCGATTTTTCGGCCGCTTTTCGGTCGCTGTGTTGCTTTGTCTTGCTTTGTATTGGACGCGTTTTGAAAAAGAAACTGAAATGAAAGGGAACGGGGTTAGATTTGTATTTATGAAGGCAAAGCATTGTAGGCAGTTTTTCTTAAAAGGGTTCGTTAAGAGGGTTTGTAGAAAGGGAGAGCAAGGGTTGACTGGAATAAAGAAGCATGCTCGTCGGAGAAAAAAAATTCTCGACCATGCCAGCATCAGGTAAACAGATACGTTGATCGTGTTTATCTTTTATTCAGTAAATAAAAAAGAAAAAAAATAGATCTATTATCTATAGGAAGATGAAATTATCTCGTTAAAATCGTTTCGATGTCGTCGAATTTATCTAGAAACGTTTGTCGATCGTCTTTAATACTCTTAGAATTGTCAGATTTGAACCGTTTTCGAATATTGTCTCCGTTATAACTCGTATATTATTTCATATTTGTCGCAAAATCGTGCGTTTAAAATTCGAACGTTTCATATTCACTCGTACGAGGCCAATTATAACAATTCAATCCGAATATAGAAATTGGCATTCAATAATCGTCTATGAGTCGAGAAGAATTGTATCGTCATTGATAGAAAAAAAGAAAGAAAGAGGACAAAATATCGCCGTCCGAGATTACAAAGCATATAAAAGATGTTATTGAGAAGTTTCGTCCGATAAAGTATCCGTGATCTTCATCGTTCGTGGAGTAGATCTTTTTGAGGCAGGATATGACTGGATTATAAGATTGCCGGACCTCGGTAGAAGGAAGGAGGCAACCGTTTTAACGGAGAACGATCCGATATAAGAAGGCAGACTTGTAAGAAGCTTAGCTTGATGACAATGTAGACGCTTCGCGAACGAACGAGAAAAAAAAAAAAAAACGAGAACCTCTCCGTGTATTTCTTCTCTCGCTTGTATTAATATAATCAGCGCCATTTTTCGCGAAATAATGATCTTTCGGATAGAAACAGAAATTCGTTTTCTAGAAATACATCCCACCCCGTTTCCTGCTTCTTCGATTATAAAAGTAAATCGTGAATTTTTAACGAGGAGGACGAAATTAACGGAAAGCTGAAACTTCTCGTATATTTAACTTAAAGGTCATCCCAACGAATTAAATTAACTCTCGAGTTCAACTCTAGAAGAATTCATTCGCGAGCCTAATCTAATCCACTTAATCGCAATTCACACGCGTCGAATAAATATCGTTCCATCCAAATCTAAATTACACTCCTTCGAACGTTGATTAATTTCTCCTAAATTTGTCGACATCGAGGGGGAGAAAATACCGTGAAAAAACGCGGTGTCTCGATTACGAACGATAACGAAGGATGACGAGGTCCCCGCGAAGGAACGAGGGCGCGTTCTTCCGACGTCGTAACCCCCTTCCCTTCCCTGGTACAAACGTGGTGTCGCACGGGCGACGAGGCGAGGAGTGAGGCGAGGCAATGACGACGACGCGAGAAAAATGGCCGACGATACAAAAAGAGCGACGATGATAATGAAGCTTCCGCCATTGGTTGACCGATAAGGCGATTTACGCGAGCAATATTCGTATCCATTAGGGGCCAACCGCTCTTTTTTTTTTTTTTCGTTTGCAAATGGGGAGGGAAGGAGGGGGGTAAGTTTGCGGAACAAAAGGATGGAATAGAACCATCCATGGGATGGTCGTGACCGGTTGAACAGGAAGGAAGAGGAGGGAGGGGGAGAAGATCGTAAGGGGGTTGAGAAAGAGAGAGGGAAAAAGGGAACGAGAAAGGCGCGTTGTTTGCCAGCGAAACGCATGCACGTTTGCACAGAGGAGGCGAGGGAAATCATCCCTGTCGTCTCGCGTATCGCGTTACTATGGTAAAAGCGGGAAGTTTGACGACGCGATTCTCTTCGGTTAATAATAGTTAATAAATAGATCGTGGAAAAGAATTAACCTATCCTTCCAATAAGAGCGGAGGTCAAAGGTAGGTAAAAGCTGTCCTAAATATTGAATATATTTCGAACTCGTTATTTTCGACTTATTCATTTCAGAATAAAGTAGAACGATTTTTCTGAACGATATATATATATATAGAATAGGATGGAAAATTAAAATGGATCGATCGTTTCAACTGATAATCAATTAAGTATCGACGTTCTTCCTTCAGTAAACTCGTGCTATCTTGCTAAATCTAATCAATATCACCAAATAATATATACTGAATGAACATACAGAGAAGATTTGAAAGAAAAAATTCCACTTCCAGTTTCTTCTTAAATCCTCCTCCTTGTCGCGAGGAGGAGCATCTCCAATACTTTGAACTCTCTCTAAAAACCTCTCTCTCTTTCTCTTTCTCTAAAGAATTCCAAATCCTCCACTGGTACGGATCCAGGTGGAAAGGTAATCTCCATAGGGGCAACGAAAGCGCATTCGGTGGGGCGTGACGTCATCACAAGCCTTGCAAAGAAAAGGGAGGACGGACGGTGGTGGATGGGGGGGAAGGAGCGTGCTGCGGATTGCGCGGGCAGACTTAGCAGGTCCGAGAAAGCGGGACGTTTCCACCGTCCTGCAAAAACCCGTGGAACACGTGCTTCGTCCTTTTCAGTTAGCGCGAGACACTCGGATGGGGGATGAAAACGGGTCGAGAGAAAGAGGGAGAGAAAGAGGAAGCGAGCGGAAGAAGGATGCGAGAAGCTTTGCCTAATGGCTCGGATCACACACCGCAGATCACCGTATTCCTAGGCTGGATCCTCT